TGAAATTCAGATACATTCTGTCATGTTTTCTGAGGCGCATTGACTGCATATACTTGCAGCTCAATTAATTCCGGTTTTCACACTGAGACTCGAACTAAACATATGTTCGTTCAAACACTACACCATTATCAGCCTGGTGATGGGGTAGTAATAATCCTATCCTTTTCAATCAGTATCAATACAATTCTTGAAACTCGTAATTTATCATCGTTCTATATTATTATATTTAAATATCTTTTAACACCTAATCTCGTGGTATGAATGTCTTGATATTACTAACAGTGTTTATCTTCGTGTATTTGTTAGGAACCTTAGTCCCTCCGATTACTGCTGATACTTCTGCTACCTCTACTATTATGGGATTTGAATTGACAATTGCATCTCTGTGCTAATGTGGTATGGTAATTTGAACTGATGTACCTACGTACGAAGTTCTACGGTGCTGTTGATTGATTGATTGGAGTCATGGCAACTATTATTAAATAAGAACTACTTTCAATACTATTATAGATTAAATCACTAATATTTCTTCGGTCAGAATAATACTTTCTGTTTGTAGATATCAATTGATGTGATTATTTTTAAAAATATACACTTGTAATTTATGTATTGAACGAGGTTATTCTTCAATGTTAATTCTCCAGTAGAATTAGCTATACTGAGCTTAGTAATTATGTTTATTTTATTCTATTATTAGTATGTTTTCTTTGCTTTCTTTATCATGTAGTCCGTATAGATGATGATCCATCACACGATCCACAACATTGTTTAGCAGCAAAAGTTGGCGGTTTTCAAATACGTATCGAATACATGAGTACAAATATTTTACTATTCAGAGTAAACTCTTTAGATTTAACACTTTATGATGAATGGCGTTTCAAAGATGTCATACAAAAATTAGTTGAATCAACGAAACAGTCTAAAATGAAAGTTTCCACAAAACACGATCAATATTCCTCTTCAACAATGAATAATGAAACAGATACTGCTGTCGGTTCACCGCCAGTATTCATTCGAATAGCTGGAGATATTAATTGGGATCAAGCACAGGTAGGGTAACGTAACTAAATTCATTATCACTTTGTGAATCATTTTTCCTAGTTATTATAATTAAAAAAATAAAAATGTATAGATATAGATGATATCATCTCTGTTATTACATTGGAGAATTAATCATTTTAAACTTTATAATGGTACACATATGTTTGACATTTCATATATACACCTCCTTACACACTGACTGAACCGTCATTATATTTGAAAGAGAAAGCTTGTTTTATTTTCAAAATTAGCTTCGTGAGGAGATTCTCGGAGTTCTAGTTGAGAAGACGTGACCAATGGAGTTCAACCCTGTCGGGTATAGGCAGTAACTGCCAAAGACAAATGGGTGAGGTCGCGCAAAATCCCTAGATCAATCAGAGTTAGACATTAACACCGTCGGATGCCGGCCCAGTGGTCCATTGGTTAGGTATTCGCGTACATTACCGAAGGTCCCGGGTTCGATTCCTGCGAGGAGCAGGATTCGTGGATGCGCACTGCCACTGATGAGTCCCATACCAGAACGAAACGGCCGTCCAGTGCTTCCAGTTTTCTAATGGTGGTCTAACAATGATTGATTGATGATTTCAAATGTGTAAAAACACAAACTTCCAAAACTCTGCCCCGAAATTAAAATTACCTTACTAATTTCTTTTGTTTACCTTCAAGTAAAATATTTTATTAATCTCCGATGAAACATTCCAACTATTGGATTTTATTTATCAAGTTATTTAGTACTTTTTCTATTGTTTCAAAAAATCTTTGTTCATGTATCCGATTCAATACTTACTGTGTGCTGCTTATTCATTGTCCATTTAATTTTCAAAACGTCTTTTTATCAATATTTTCTAGGCAGCTATTGTCCGTAGCACTACTCCAGATCTTATAAGATCTATTCATAAAGTTCGTGATTATTTTCAAGAACAAGTTCGAGAAGGTCGTTTATCATTGTTTGGACAAGTTGGTCGTTTCGGTATACTTCCAATCAATGCTGAACGACGCTGTTCTTCAAATCATAAAGGTAGTATTTGTTCACAACGTTTATCAAAAGATAAATCCGTTAATATTGGTAATGAAGAAATCGATCACCTTTTACAACGTCATTGGCAAGAAATTATGTACCGAGCTGTCAGATTATTTTTACAAGAACGATTAAAAGTTTCTAGTATGAAAGGAAAATTATTGTCTACTGAAACACAATCAGATTTATACAATGATCCAGTGCTAAGTGGTTCTTTTCAGTTATCAGGAAATTCATTGGGTATAGCTTGTTTTGCTGGTAGTTTCCGATCAGCACCTGACTGGGCTGTATTCAATGTTCAACATCCAACAGTCTGGTTAGTTTTTTTTATTCCGCGTATTTTCCATACTGAAGATTATATTTATATGCAGAAATCTCTATTACCTGCTAATGAATATGAATAACTTAATCATCACTCATCAATTCTTATACCGAAAAATCTAGATTTATGAAGAGGATTTGTGGAATATATATTGTTTTCATAGTTGAAATCACAAACTAATCTATGCTAGACCATCATTAGAAATTTAGTAGCATTGGACGGTTGTTTCGTCCTAGTATGTGACTCCTCAGCACTACGTATTTACTACCCAAAAGGCAAAAATTGAACTCAGGACCTTTGGTCTTGCGAGCGAGCACTGAACCTCTAGACCACTGAGTCCGTAACCAACGGTATTCATGTCTGGTTTCAACCAACACATGATCTTGTGCAACCTCAGTAGTCTGTAGGTTAAGCGCTCGTGCGCGAGACCGAAGATCCTAGGTTGAATTTTCGCGTTCGTGGTCGTAGATACACAGTGCTGAGAAGCCATGTCCTGGGACAAAACATCCGTCTAGGTTTGTAATGGTGGTCCAGCTAAGATCAGTTCGTGATTTCAACCATCAAAATTTAAACTAATATTAAAATTATGGGTTTTTCACGTAGTTAAAAGATTGCATTACCGTTATTCAGATTACGGTAACAGATAATTTAAGCTAACGATTTATAAACAACTGATTCATAATTGTGTATACGATGCGTCTCTGTGCTAATGCGGTATGGCAGCCTGAACTGATGTACGCACGTACGAAGTTCTGTGTTGTATCTGTCTGTCTGTCTGTGTATACGATAAAAAACGTTGTTAATTACGTTCACACTGCATAATTCATGTAAGCTGTTTTCTCTCAAAAAAAAATTTATTTAAAAACTTACTACCAAATTATAATTAAACGATAACTAGGATAAATAGAAAAAATCAGTCAATGATTATGATTTGGACATTTACTGAAGCATATAATATTGAGGCATTTTACTCAGTTTAGATTTCTCTTCCATCCTATCTCATGGTATTTAGCTTTGAAACTGAAGCTCAACGAGAACTTCCTATACCGACTGAAGGAACAATTCTTGATGTAAGTGAACAAGATGGATGGATAAATGTACGACAAGTTTTAAGCTTTGAATTAGGCTCACCTCCAGAGTTTCAACCTCAAATGGCTTATGTACTTCGTGTTAGACGTGGAAAATCACAGAATATACGAGATTTACCAACGGCAACTATTGAAGAGTGGTTAGAATTTTGTTTTCGTGGTGCAGATAATACAGGTATGTACATATAATCCTAGTATGAGATTGTTCATCAATTTGTATTTCCAACTCTCTCTCCTTTCCCCCAAGGAAATGAACCCTGAACAGTTTCCTATCCGAACCCAACCATTATCCTGTTACTTTTTAATTTCATTTAAGACATCAATAGATGAAACGTCAAAAATAGAGTAAAGTGACGACCTTAAACGGTCTACCGGCCAATCATAAAACACTTCCTAGTTAAAAACAATCAACAGCTAAAAACTATGAAATACCAGTGGGATTGTAGCTTGAATAGGATTATCAACCTTCATATGTTGAATTATTCCTTGTATTGATAGGATAAAGTCAAGTTTACACATGAAAAGCTGGGTTAGTGTTGTTATGAGTTACAATTATCACTCCACAAAGTTTTTGTCACCAACCGAGACCATTATGATGCAGAAAGATTATGATAAGCTAATAAAAGTTGAGCTGGATTTCTGATTTAGGTTTTTCAAGTGAAGCTTAGCGTTTTCATCACGAATCGACATCAACTATGATGTAATGCTTTGTCAATCTACAGTTTGTAATCTTTAGAAATTTAGAGTGAGTCAAAAAGAGTGACTTCACTAAACACTCTTGACAATGCTTTGAATTACAACAAGCACTTTATTATACAATTTGCATTGAGAGCAGTTATGCTTTGTATATTTTGACTTGAGCATCTTTTTAAATCCACTTTTCGGCTTCATAATCAAAATTTCTTTTAATTTAAAGCATTTTAAAAATCATATATTGTATGATTTTTTTTCCTCGGTAATTTTAACATAATAAGTTAGTTATCTATCACTGCACATAGAATTTCGCACAGAATACCTGAGGTGTTATTCATATCTTGGTTGGTTCACTCAAAGTTGTCAGTATATTACACTTTAACCAATTAAACTATTCTCCACTGGGATTCTTTAACCAAAACTTTCAAATCTTTACTTGTTTTCTTTTTCATATTTTTTCACCGCAACTTATAGTTGTCCATTTCGTTCGAAATAATTATCCATCGGGCATCAAATCCATAGTAAAATGTAAGTAAACATAGTGTTTTTTTGGTCTAGTCTACTTTTGAGTCCTCTTTGTTCTTTCAATATAAATAAAATAGTTTACAATTGATTGTGTGAAATACAACTAATGTACAGCCACTATTTAATTAATCCTTCTTTTATCTTTGTTGATAAAATTCAAAAAGAAATTATAAAATTCCCTGTGTGTGTTTTAGTTCTTTGTATATTAAAGTAAAGAAAATATTCCATGCATTATGTGGAAAACAAGATATGAAAATGTTATGCTCGTCAATTGATATGCTTGAAACTATTACGAGTTAACCCTAGTCGGTAAACGAGAGGGAAGACAAATGATCCAGTGACACGATAGGCTACTCTAATCTGAGCGTTCCAAGGCCCCACTAAGTAGAGGAAGAAATCTTGATATGGCGTAGAAAGTGTAGTCTACAAGCACCCAGAGAATATGAGCTTCAAAAGCACACAAATGGAGTTTATGTATACATGATAGAAACATCCTTGGAAGAGCCACAAAAATAGCGTACTAAAATAATACATCAACCAATAGAACATTGAAGGATTTTGGAGAGTAGGAAATGTAAGCTGAAGGTCAACTGATCAGCTCATGTGCTGAAACATTGAATCCAAAATTAGGACCTTTTCCAAGTGAGATCTGGGGATCTAATTTCCTTTACAATAAAAGCATTCTCGTGATTCTTCTTGTAAGTGAATTAATATGGATCTCTTCTATACAAGTGTTGTAGGATAAAAAACGAATAATATTATTTTGTTGATAAAAAAGATGTTAAAATTCTACCAGACCTGTTAGGATTTATGTGTTGTTCATTAACCTCTAGTTTTTATTAGTGATATTTTAGCTGATGATATCAAACAGTATTGAAGCTCAGTATAGATTCTAGAAAATCTCTACCAGTTATATAACTGTGGTTTTGTAAGCACTAGTTAAAGTTTCTCTTCTCATCAACTTACTATTAAGAATGGTTTTTCTAGAAGTTTATTCATGAATTTATTTCCTATTACTATGACTTTTTCAGTGGCACAGTTCCCAGTATGTTTTACGCATATAAGTAGCCAAGATGCTTCGTTGCCTGTATTCAATGTACTGAACTCTTCAAAACCTGCACGTGAAGTGCTTGTTCCAGTCAGTGAAGATGATGGCAACCCTGCAGATCCTGGTGATACTAGCCGTCCTACTAATAAAACTAATGAAGCATCAACTATCGACAAAGAGGTGTCAAAAGAAGAACGACCAAATGTATCTTCACGTTTTAATCCATTAAGGCCACCAAGTGAAGGCGAATTATTGTTTATTTTACCGTCCCTTGCCTTGCGTATCACCACTGATCAACGACAAACAATGTCTCGACCTAGTTTATCTAGTTTTCCAGCTAATGTATCAGCATCCTCAGCTAGTAAGGAATCTACATTTAACACTAAAGTGACCTCTAAAGATGCAGACCAGAACAAATCACCTGAACGATTTCCTAAAGATCGATCTTTACTTCTAACCAAACCATCTTCTAAAAAAAACAGTTCGGGAGAATTAAATGCGAATTTTTCTAATTCTGTGCCATCTGTAAACGTCAGTTTTCAAACTGATTTTCATGGCTTCATTCAACTAGGCCTTATCGATGTACCTTGGTTGCCAACCCTCATAAGTTCATACTTGGATGAACGATTAAATGACTATGAACGTGAGTTTTACTTTAAATATTAATATTCTTTACATGAAATATAAAAAATTAACAGTAATCCTTACTTTAAATATTCAAAACTGATGTTCATGTATTTAGCAAATAAGTTATTCAACCCTTATCTTGTTTAGCACAATAGCTGTTAATGTTTTCTGCCAAATTACTAACTCATTAGGTAGGCAATCCTTAATTTACTGTCTTACGCCTGTTACCCCTAATGGAGAATAGGTTGTCGACCAGTATTTTCCAACCTACTCTGTCCTGAGTTTCCCTTTCCAGTTCTATCCAATTTTCGTTTATTCTTCTCGTGTGTGCCTTCATTTCTCGATGTAATGTGCTCATTGGCCTGAATATTTGCTTTCGACCATGAATAAGTGATTGTCTTCGGACGCAGCTGGGTACTCTCCGCAATGTGTATCCTATCAACTTCCAGCACTTCTTCCTGATGTCCTCCTCTTTTGGAGTGTGGTTTGTTGTCTCACACAGTGAGTTGTTGTTGTTGATGCGTTCTGGCCAGCATATCCAAAGTATTTTGAGCAGACAACTGGCAATAAACACTTGTATCTGGTGGATGATGGGTTTGGTAGTTCTCGATATTTCCGCCCCATGCAGTGTCTGACATTTGTGTTGAAAATTGTGAGTTTGGTGTTGTTTGGTAGTTGTTTTGAGTTCTAGATGTTGTTCAATTGTAGAAATGCTGTTCATGCTTTGCCGATCCGCGCCTTGACATGTGCTTCAGGTCCACCTTGCTCGTCAGTGATGATAATCTAATCTGTATCATTTTAATGTTCTATTTTCTGACTCTCTCAAGGATGTCTCTATGGAGTATAAATAAACGCAATTTGTGTGCTTGGATTCATTGTGTGCTGGCTGGGTGTTTGTAGAATACAATCTCTACGCCATATCAAGACTTCTTGCTGGTACAATTGCGACAGTTGGATCACAATAGCCCACCTAGACGCTGGTTCATTGTTTTGTTCTCGTTAATCGAATAAGGTGAACCCGTGCATGATTTCGCAGTTTACTGCATCATAAGAATCCCATATGATGTTGACTATCTTTTCAGGCACGCTGTTGTGTCGAAGAAGCCTCCGTAATGTTATCCTGTCCACGCTACCACATGATCTCTCTTAGTTGATGAAATTGATGTAGGATGGTGAATTCCACTCAACTGATTGTTCCACAATGATCCGTAATGTTGCAATTCGGTCAGTACGCGATCGATCCTTACGAAATACAGCCTGTCGATCTCGAAGTTGGGCGTCCACGAAGCCCGTCATTCTGTTTAAAAACATCCTGTTGAAGATATTTCCTGGTAGTGAGATAAGAGTAATGCCTCTGTAGTTCTCACACTTTTTTCTTTAGTAGTTTGATCAGATATCCTTCTTTACAGTCTGCTGGTACTTGTTTTTCATCCCTTATCTTCTTGAAGAGAATGGGATATTTTTACAGTTGCTGCCACGTCTGCCTTCATTACCTCTGTCGGAATGTTCCCTGGTCTCGCTGCTTCGCCACTGTTCGATTCGGTTCTTTGTAGTATAATCCTGCGAAATCTATGCAGCTCTGTGTATGTGTTTATGTGGGGATATTTTGCCGCCTATGACCAGTTTGTTTAAGGTTTATAGGTTTGAAAATCTCTCATCGATTTTTTCCTTTTCAAATTTTTGTCAAAAAGTTACATATGATACCACTAAGCTACCAATCAATATAGATAATTTTTTACCTATCAACTACGTTACAATTCTTTTTTGTCGCAATTATTCATTGACATTGGCTTGTGATGGCGATAAAATATTTGAACTGTATGAACATAAAGCAGTTCTTATAGCAAAATAACTTTTTTCCACTTTTTTTAATTTTCTCATTCAAGTTTCAAGCGAAGCAATCTGGAATGTGGGTGATTCCAGTCAAAGTTTTGCGAGCGCTCCACCGATGACTAATGTTATGTCGGAAGATGTTATTAGTCGGCTTCGTGCGCTTTCAACAACTAGTTCACCTATGGTTCAGGATGCCCGTGTCTATAACATAATACACTGGTCATTAAGTCCTGAATGTCGTTGGCTTTTAGCCACTAACATTGGAGTGCCAGCATTTGATCGTCTTCTAGAAAGTATCGGCTTCCGCAAGGCGCGTGTCACCATTCCGAAATGGCTTCAAAGAGGTGTAATGGATCATCTAGACAAAATTGCATCTATACTCTTAAGAGGCAGCTTAGTATTAAGCATGGATAAGACAACTGAAGAAACTGATTCTTCTGATCAAACAAACGAAAAAGACAGGCCCATAATACTGCTTCAACATCAATAAAATAAGCATACATTATTTACTTTAGACTTTAAACTCATTGATTTACCAGTATTTTTGATGCCGTACTAAGTCAAATATGAAAATCCTTTCCCAACTTTTTTAACTGTAAAGTCTTTCTTTTCTTACATGTACTCACATTATTTCATTCTTCGAAATGTATCCTGTTTTCTATTTCTATGCTAACTGTTGCTGTCACAAGAGTCCCTACTACTCTGCAAACATCACTGTTCAGTATCCTAACTACCATTTTCATTTAATTTGATTGTTACCTGATGAATTTCATATTAAGTGAACAACAAAAGATAATTTTTAATGTTTTTTTCTGTCTCAGACAGATGTAGATATTTGGAAGTGTTCCAACAGCAAAAATGAACGCCTAACAAACTTTTGTACAAATTTTACCTGTAGCGTTTGAAAAATTTTTATTGTTTGAAAGTGTTAGCATGTTGCTACAGTTGCCACTTATTTACCATGACATTAAAATGATTCTAATTACTCGTACCCATCGTTCTATTTCGCTTGTTTATATGTACGTACTGTTATGTCAAGCCTACACGGCTTGTCCTAGACCTTGGACAAACTAATTGATACATTCTTCTCAAGCTGTTCACTAGTCTTTCGGCCTTGGTAATTAATCGCTTATAACTTGGTTGTTTTTATATAAGTGCGTATATGCATTGCTTACTTTGCTTATCACATGTCTAGTTTGTTTTTGTCTGACTGTAAATACTAGTAATGCCTCATCGATTGAGTTGGCCCACTCTCCTTCCCCACTTCACTTCGTTTCGCTTTTACGGTTCTACTTATTTTCTGACTGCTTACGCAAATGTATGAAATAAACGCATTCAAGATAAATGGTGTTAGGCTTTTAATTACCGTCATCACATAAACGTGATCCACCTAAGAATGATATGTGGAAATCGGAGGAAAGATTTATTTCGTAGCACATTCACTTGTTTGTAAAATTTAGAGTCAGCTCTCGAACCACAAGTATGTTTACATGTAATCACACATAGTTACTCCTGTTTACTGAACCTAAAACGTAAAAGGATCTCAGTAGAGTAATGTGATTATAGTTTATTTCACAAAGTTCTTGTCAGCTGATCACAATATCTATTATAAAATCAAGAATAACTAAAGGTTCAAAATCAGGTAGACATTCAAGTTAGATATACTGTTTAAACAATTGTCGTTCGCAATCAGTTTTGCGGAGAACCTTCACTATATGCTCTCCATTATTCGGACACCCCACTTTGTTGTGTCATAGCTCACTGTTCTTTATCATCGTATTTTCTTGCGAATCCTTTGACTACGATTTGTTCTAGTCGTGGAAACTGACATAAGCATACCTTTGAGGTTTCATATAAAAATAATAATGTACACTCTGCTCTGTTAGGGTCTTCGTTTAGAAGAGTTATGACATCTCTCAATCAAAAACGTGTTCCTTCGGAATTCATGAGGCCGATGCCCCTTCTGACAGCCAGAACCATTCAACGGTGTGAGCAGTTGGGAAGTAACATCTGCGCATAAATCGGTCAGAATCAAAGCCTCTCTACATTTCCTTCAAACTCTCCTGTGTCTATGACCAACTCTTCTTTCGATCGATTGCCACCTCGTGCCACTGACGCGAGATGAGTTCACAAAACGTTATTCACGGTCTCCTGAAAGCCCGCTCCAAACTACATTCCGAGACCTAATCTCCGGACACTGTGTCTAATAGGGATGCAAGCTTCCTTAGTTGAGTCTATAGAATCTCGCGCCGTCGATGCCTGCTTCGTTTCTGAAACGTGGATATAGGATCCAAGTACAGTAACTAATTAAACTTCACCTTGTCCAAATAAAAATCAGGTTGTTTACGCGCCCTCTTTCTGTGAGCCCTGCTGCTGATACCCGTAGCCTCGCTAGTGTAGGGGTAGCATTGAGTCCTTCGGCAGAATTAGCTCTCTTAGTAGATATTCGCTTGTACGCCGTCCGACCAAACTGGACAGTAAGGACTCGGATAGCAATAAATGTATCCATGTACTTATTTACTAAGGCTTCTAGATCTATTCGCATTCTGTCCCAATCTAAAAATAACCACGGAAGGGACACTCGTCATTGCCTCTTTGTCGTATCTGCCTACGCTCCCACTGACTGTTACGTACGTACGGACTTCTACGTCGCAACATACTGAGTTGGTGAACCTTCCTCTTTCTCCTGGTGACAGTTTGGATTATGAAGACGTCAACATCTAGAGGGGATCACGGTATGCAGTGGACAGTTAGCATGCGGCCGGATGATCTACAGATATTCTGGCTCTTCTATCGCACACGCAACAGATGCAAGAGAAGACGACCAGTGTAGCAGCAGGTTTCAACATACATAAATGAAATAGAGAGATTCTCTGATACAACACAATACGTATCACCCAAATCACACATGAGGGAGAAGCCATAGATAACGTAAAAACCTTTACATTTCTGGACAGCATCATTGACGAGCAAGGTGGGTCTGAAGCACATGTGAAGGCGCGGATCGGCAATGCAGAAGCAGCATTTCTAAAATTGAACAACATCTGGAACTCAAAAAAACTACCAAACAACACCAAAGTCACAATTTTCAACACAAATGTTGAGACACTTCTACTGCATGGAACGGAAATATCGAGAACTACCAAACCCATCATCCACCAGATACAAGTGTTTATTGCCAGTTGTCTGCGCAAAACACTTCGGATCTGCTGGCCAGAGCACATCAGCAACAACAACTCACTGTGTGAGACAACAAACCACATTCTAAAAGAGGAGGACATCAGGAAGAAGTGCTGGGAGTTGATAGCATACACATTGTGAAGAGTACCCAGCTGCGTCAGAGGACAGTCCCTCACTCGGAACCTTCAAGGTCAAAGGAGATGAAGAAGACCAAAAGACAATACTCCGAGAAATGGAAACAAACATAAGAAGAATAAACGAAAATTGGAGAGGACTGGAAAGGAATGCCCAGGACAGAGTATGCTGATCGGTGGCTTGTGCGTAAGTAAGGGCTTTTAATTAATCACCTTCCAAACTGCTTAATTAGACAAAATTAGAAGGTAGTGTAAACTTAATATTTTAGTGTAATGTAAAGCATTGTAACAAATAAAACTTACGCTGATTCACCAAATCAACTAGGCCAAATTCACCACCAACTCCATCCCCTTGACTGATAAATTGACTATTGGCTATGCCAGCAGTTAAGGAAGTATTTTTCACGACCAGGACAGAGTAGGTTGGAAAATAGTGGTCGGCAACCTTTTCTCATTTATGGTTAACAGTCATTAGTATGTAAGTAAGTACTACGTCATGAACGGAGCAAATCCATGATGGAAGACGAGGAAATTAACTTTTCATTCCAAGACTCCACGATCTGCAAGTGAGTGTTCAGCTGGCTGAGAAAGAATGATTGGTATTTACCTTTTCACTACTTATTCGCCTGAAGAACTGATTCCAGAACCGAGGCTTTTTTGTAAAAATTCAGTATCTAGATTGAGTGGGTCACGAACTGCTGGATTAGGGACTCTATTGCTTCTTGTACTTATCTGGAGAGTTGCAAAATTTGGAGGAGATTCACAAGTACTCGGAGACTTGTTGTTTTTGTACTATTAAATCCAAAATAACTTTCAGGCAATGCCAAAAATACTATTTTATTTGCGTTCATTGCTTCAATATCATCGTGACGGACTATAGTATAAATACATTAGCGAGGGAGGCATAAGCAGCGTAGGCTAATATCTTACTGGAGTTACCTTAATTCAAAAACATATTTAAGTTCTTCTAAGATTACTCAAGACCTAAATCCACAGGTACCTCGAAATGTGGAACCTTTCTGCAGCATCTCTCTTTAAGAAGCTTATTCATTCCATGAAATACGTAGTTGGATTAAGGGATAAGAACTGCAACTGAATTGATTAGCTATAGCCGCTCGGTTACTAGGTGATAAGAACGGACCTAATAGTTGTAAATATGACTAAAAACTCTGAGTTAGTCTGATGGAAACATTCCGTCCAGACTGCAGTGTTTCACATCACAAGGAAGCCATCAAGGAAGTGCACATTAAACATCGAAAACGCAAATAATATCACACTTTCCCAGTAACTGAACAAATGGCTTTGTACTTATTAGGTTTTCTGTCCAACATTTCACATGTTATCCATTCCCAGCACTGCTAGGAACCCTATATACCACGTGATCTATTATCAGTCTATTTCATTCTCACTTAGATTCTCATTTATTCGGATAGCAATAAATGTGTCCGTTTACTTATTTACTAAGGCTTCTAGTTCTTCTCTTCTCCTTTCTGTTCTAGTTTAAAAATGCCCAAACATAACCACCAACCAGTTAACAATCTTGTTATAGGCCATCTACTGGTTCCCGTAACACAGTTTAGCTAATTAACACACAAAAAATAAGGCTTCATATACACTGCATTTAGTGAGTTCGAGTGACTACGCTAGTCATGTTAGATATGAAAGACTCAGAATCGCACCTTGACACCAAGAAACAGGATCAAGGACACTTATTAGTTTGCATTGGCTTGCTGCACTGACATTGGACGTAGGAGGATCGCTGAAGGTCAGCTACACTTTAAGTTTGGCGTAACATCACAAGACTTCTAAACTACTTTGTCTTCATATAGTTGTGCTAATAAGCTACAGTGGTATTTCTAGTCTCAGATAAATGCTTATATTGAATTACGACAAACCGAGTTTCAGCTGCAGACGACCTACGTATTGCTTGAATAACCAGTCCCCAACTTCCGAGGAAATTTCGTTGATTCCAGAGAGCTCCCTTTGGAAACTGAGGGTTCTGAATATAATAAAATACGACAAAACTAAACCCCTAATATCAGTGGGGAAAACCGCAAGTTTCCTGACGAGCATGGGTAGACCCCAAGGCTGGGTAATATGTATGGTCATTTCTGTAGCTAACGCGATGAGGCTGTAACTCATGGTCAGTGTCTAAACAATTATAAAATAGACCTCATGAATCTCAGTTGTTTTTGAGGTCTAGAAGAGTGTTAAGAGTTTAAGGCATTAGTATCACGATTTTCATCGCAAGCAATGCATAGAGATTCGAGCGCCATTTCGAGTCAAACTGGTTTGTCCATACTATGTAGTTCCACCGTAAACCAACTACACATCTCGTTCTGATACATATGTTGGCAAAAAAACAACAAGAAAGACATTGTGAATCAGTAATCCAGTCACTCTTGATGCCATATCGACGTCTAGTCATGTTACACGCATCTGATTGAAGTTATCTTCGTTCCTGTTTATTGATTTACGTAGCAAGACGTGCTTATAGTGATCGCATATTTAAGCCACTGGCAGGACGTCTGTATGAAAATTCATCGGGCGCAGAAAGTATGTTCCTGTAAGCCGTATATTCTCGTCAGCAAAAAGCTTCAAGTACTTCAGCACTTTTTATTCAAGACGATGTAACATGGTTTTCAGGTTGCTGGGCTTTCCGACTAACAAAAACTACTGTATCCATATGCTTTAAGTCAACTAGTATGTAGAACAGTGACTAGAGGAAGGACTTTTACTTTAGTAACGCCCGTGTGACGAGATTTGATGGAGTAAGAGATCTCTCAGAATAAGCTCTGGTGACCGCGTTTGTTCGATTATAGGCCCTTCAATCATTTTACGTGATCATTAGGAATTCTGAAGTCTTGCTAGTGAATCCCAATGTCTTTCATCATAGACAATATGTTTTAAATATTTCACAAAATTGTTCAAATCGAACTGAATGCATACATCTCTCCTGCAAATAATTTTTCGTTAACTAGTGTGTCACTTCGTAGGTATTAGGCAGCGCCCGGTTGGCGTAAATTATCAAGTCGCACGCATGTTATTGTAACAGTTTATCCAGGCGTCCGAAATATACATTGACTAGTCATCCACGTAGTGCAACTAATACCACTTGTAGGGAAGTATACAATTCTAGGTTGCAAATCATCAAACGCTTACTTGTTACTACTGCCATTTCCATGAGTAATTCACATACATATGATTCTGATCACAAAGTGATCATCATTTGCAACTGTCAAGGGCTGTTAACGTGACTACATAACTACTCACAATGAAATATCTTATTAACGTATTGTTTCAATGCAATGGATGTACATTAAGTCTTCAAGATGTGAACCATAGATTTATACCCTTAGGGTCACCGTCCAAACATCTACATTGAGTGGAGCCAGTAGTCATTTAGAAGTAAATACGACCAACAATCCAGTTCATAAAAGCGACTGTTTTATTTGTTTGATTCATAATTTTATACTAAAATTAGACAGTCCGCCCCAAATACTCGAGTAAATAAATTGTCATTCTTGAACAGATCTATATCAACATAGTTACAACAGTCATCTACAAATTACTTCGACGGTACAAGTGACTGTACCGGCATGTATTATTATTTAGTTAGGCCATTCACTGCGTGTACCGAGTGGACAGTGAAACTTAGCTCCGTTACCTGAACTACATGCCCCACAAATGCTTCTTACTATACAGAAAAAGGAAAGACTCGAAGAATTTCTTATTTCACACACTATTTTTCACTAAGTAAATATAACGCGAGTTTTATAATATGAGTGTTATTTTTAACCATCTTTTTATAGATGAGTTTACTTAAACCACTGATCATAAAATCAAACATCAGTGGTTTAATTGGCAGTTTCTGTAGTAAAATGCGGCTATTGTCCATCCCACCACCAATACCGTCGGAGATACTACATCAGCATGAAGTAACACCTGATAAAACACCCGCACATCATAATAATCCTGAAGTCGAAAAACTGTTAGCAAACGAGCTATGTGGTTATCCACCATACTCCTCTAGGAAAAGTAAATCTCTATATACTGATATTTTTCCATATAGTTCGTCACGGCTTTCAGGATGCTATCATGATTCGTGATTATAAGCGCAGACAAGTGGCTGCTCACTTTTGTGACTTGCGCATCAGACTAAATGCTATCAGAAAAAACACGATTTTACCCCAAGAAATCCAGGTAAGTTATTACTTAACCGCATTTTGCACTAGGACTTAGCAACTCTGTATATTTCTTCACTTCCACGTGATAGCAACTGGACGCGTATTTTAAGCAGATGTGTTGTTACTTCGAGAAGACGGGGATGCAAAATACGATGGAAAGTCTCACGTATTATATGGCGAAAATATGCAGATTATAACAAAATGTCTGGAGTACTTTGGGCTTGTTGGGGTTCAAATACTCGAAGCGTGCGAAGGCATATGTTATGGCCGCCCCCCGGGAACATCTCTGTCTCTGAATATATACAACGATATTACAAAAATCTAGCTGATGTGTAAAAAAAATACATTGATATGATAAAAATGAAGGTTGCTTCTGTTTACTTTCGTGAGCCGCGAAAGATTTTTATTTCTCATCATAATAAAAACAGTCTATCTTTATTTGCAAACGCATTTATTAGCGAGAACGACAAAAGTTATATGTGGTACATCTGAGACAGGAACCTCACGGACCGTTTACAGTCAAGACTATTTCGAAGAGTGTCTGGTGCGCAGCGAGTATTTGTTTTGTACAGCTGTCTAAAGCAAAATCTAAGGCTAGTAAATATAATTACCGTATAATCAACAGCATTGATAGTTTCTGACTGCTTGGTAACTGGCTTATTTGAATCATTATCTAAGCACACGGAAACCTCCGAAATCGCTCTATTATTCCGAGTCACGCATAAATTTCTGTTTGCTAAGTATTTATTAGGATAATAAACGAAACTTACCACTGACTGTGGGGATTCTGTCCTTTGACATACTCTGTCTTCTGTGTGAACTCACATTCTGACGGCGTTCCATCGGGCTAATGGGCTCCTTATACAAGGGAGTTTCAATACAAACATCTTCTTGCGTATTCTGATTGATACTGATGTTGTGTGCAATTTCCGAAACTTCTGTCAACACGTACTATTGGAATGATTAAGTCCACTTACCGTTTGTAAACTCAATGGTGCTACATTTACGGTTTAATTTCGTCTTTCTTGATGGTGTGCTAAGTTCATTATCTGTTAGGAGACAACATCCATTTAAAACTATACACTCTAACTAACCACCTTGGACATTTTCCTCATGATAAGATATTTTGCGTTTCCGATTATTTCTGCCAGCTGGTCTTGGTTTATCTTTTGACACAATATCTGTTTCACATTCTACACTCAAGCTACTTGAGTTTTCCTGTTCTGTAGGTGAATACGGTGGAAAGTGGCTTGCCTCTTGACATTAATTTACAACGGTATTCCTTAGACTAACCTTCAACTATGTCTGTGCAAACGTCACCCACTAGTGGAGAAGTGGACGGATGGAATTTTCTCCCAAACTCTTTTTTTCGACTATGTTCCTTTGCCTTAGTTTTGTTTATCACAAGCATGGGAAGCACTTACATAACTCTGTCCTCCGACACCGGAAGTTTTGGACGGACCAAGTAGTGTTGCCAAAGTAGATAGATCAAAAGAGTTCAAAAGTATTTGTATTTTGTCGGCTACTGTGCATGTTTTCCAGTATCCTGTCTTTATATCATTCCGGATTCTTAGACTTATCCAATCCAAAACGGAGTTTGGATCTAAATATTTACCCAGTTGCTTTTTTATCATATATATATTCTCATTGTGTTTACCTCAATAGTAGGTTTTTCAATGTGAGAAAAGTTAAGATCCAGCCACTTATGAAGCATGAGGATTCTGATGACATTTGCATCATGTTTAAAAGTCGACTTGCCTAAAGAAAATATTCGTCTACAGGATAAAATAAAGGCAAGCTTACTTCGCAACTAACTCTCCAAATTCAGGGACAAGAGCAATGGTGTTCATTTGTAGAAGTACGTCAACTAGATAAATAGTTTCACCTGAAAGCGTAAATTCAACCATACAAAGATCCTTTGAGTTCAACAAATTAAGATTGCCGTGTGTGTTGTGTTTCTGAAGCAACACTCTGGAGTCAAGAAATGAAGCCAAAAGGGAAGTCCAGGTCATATAGTTATCGGATTTACAAAACTGAAAATACTGATATATATATTTATTAGAAGCCTTACGGAACACCCATGTAGGGAATGTGAATAGTAAATGGGCAGCACGTTGTAAAGACAATCATTAACGGTTCTGAGAAAGTATCGTTTAGAAAAATTATAAGTTACTGGGCATTTTCAGCACTGATGCGAATACGGTTCCACCTATAAAAATAAAAATTCTTCGCGATAAGAATGATCACAAACAAGATTGGTTGAAAGTGCATTTCTCTACAGTGATTGTTTACAAACAATTACAGTTCATAAGATCGCAGTTATCCAAGTCAGATAACTAAGCTGACTGTGCTGGGACAGCTAATTAATGGTATTATGCCCTAGATAACTCACTGTACATAAGACCAACTACCAGTACAAAAAGCATAACTTCGTAAACTTCCAAACTGATGGCCGGTTAGTATGAGAAACAAATCAGGTACTGTTCAAATCAAAACACAAGATTATCTTCTTTGTAGAAAGCGGACAAATTATTTGACTAAACTCAATATTACTGCCAGTTATGTGAATTCATTACTCAGGGAAATTCATGTGAAATAAGAGAACCTGAGCTTTTAGTCATACTGTCACACTAAGGCCCCATTTATTAATGATCGTTATTTTAGAGTAAACTGACGTGATATGAAAAGCTGGATATTTGATAGGATAGGTAAACATTATCGACGTCATCGCCCTAATACATGATAATGTTTTCCTAAGGTTTGTACAATTACCAACCGAGAAGGAACAAATTCATATTTCATTCCCATTAAGTCAGTAGGGTATTAACATAGTAATTTAGGATTTCAGAAACAGTACTATGAAAGCCTTTTTGACCAGCTGGGCTACACGTGTTGAAATAATCACTTCCGAACGAAAACACGTTTTATTTCTGTAGGTAAAGTAAATAGTTGAATTAAGCATCTAAGTCGGGGTATGTGTAATAGTTTCATATTTCTGTTCAGGTCTGGTGCACAGCATTGGAAACATCTGACGCAACATCAAAATTACACTACTTTTTGACTGTGCATCTACCTAGATTCTCAAATTCGGAACAATTTTCGACAACTTTAGGTACACTTTGGGAAGAATATAACACTAACCACGTCAGACACATATATCAACGTCGAAATGTCCCGAACTAAAAAATAACTAACAGGTCTAAGTGAGTACTCATTGAAACTACCAGATGTATGCGAGCTTCAGATGCGTATTTTCAAACATAACAGATATAATTATGTCCAAATTATACTTGATTTGAACGTTAAACACTCAAACATAGTGGACAAAGCACTAACTTTTCAATTTTAGCTATTAGTTTGTGCTGAAGATCCAAATCACTCTTAACGAAAGAGTCTCGTAAATCGGACAAAAAAACATCCATTATAAAGAATTCGGAAATGAGCGAGGCCTTGTGCAGGGATTTCTTTCAGAAAGTAAAACAACTCAGTCCACTGCCCAATCTACTATCCTTTTCACGAGCTAGTATAAACCAATTGACTGCTCTGTGCTCAATTATAGTTCTTTCGGTACGGTTCTAGGTGTTTGGTAGTGTTCAATGAATGGAGGTCAAGCCACTCGACTGTCTAATTCTAGTCAGTTTACAGTTGATTGTGAGTTAGTATGTCTCGTGATTTGAATGAAAACGTTTGTGTCAGGGTATTAGGGTTTCTGGATACCAGCACCTATTACATTACCAGACCGGAGATCAGTTAGTTGCAATGTGGAACTAAGTAAATCAATAGATAATTTAGTTTATTAATTGGTAGTGAAGATTCTGATGGAGGATTGAAGTGGAAGCACGGGAGAGGAAACACAAATAATAGGCGAGATAGATTAGGTTAGTGATCTGAATAGATGGCAATGATAACAGCTAGCAGGTCTCAGGACATGCATCAGGCACAGCGTATCCAAGAGGGGGATGATAATCAGTATGATTATCAAGTCTCTTCTTAAAGGTGTCCACTGGGAGGGCTGTGGTCACCTCGGCCGGGAGAGCATTCTAAGTTGCGACGACTCGTAATGAGAAGAAGTATGCACGAATCTGAGTATTCGCTCTTTGATGTGCAATCTTTCGAGGATTGCCTCGAGGGGCGTGGTAGTGATGCATCGGTAAGATGCTCCCATTGGGATGGTTTGGTGTGCTTAATATGTTGTACACCATTATCAGATCACCTCTGATTCTCCTGTATCTCAGTGGAAATAATTCCGAGAGCTAGAGTCTATCGTCGTAAGATTTATTTTTCAACACTATCACCCATTTGGTTGCTCGTCTCTGCACTCAATCCAAGAGATTTATGTCTCTTTTAAGCAGAGGGGGTGCGATGACGTTGTGGTGGCTTTCTGTGGTTATTAAACCGAGATCGCGCTCTGAGGAAATATTAGGGAGCGGACTTCCATCAATGATATAGATCGTTTGCGTCATGTGAGGCAGGAGATGCATGACGTGGCACTTCGGTTGGTTGAGTCTTAAACCTTTCTTCTCTGCCCATTTCTCAATAGATGTAAGGTCCTTTTGAAGCTCAGTCAAATCCTCTTCGCTTCTAATGGACCTCCAGATCTTCGCATCGTCTGTGTAGATCAATGCCGGTGAGCTAACTGTGCTTAACTGTTCGTCAATAAATATCAGGAAGAGAAGTGAACCTAAGATGGTCTCCTGTGAAACTCCCGATGCGGATTCTCGCCAGCTCGCGTGCACTCTGTTTACCTTGGCGCGAAACTTTCTATTCTCAAGGTAGTTTCTGAGCCAAGATAGGAGTGGGTCAGTGAAGCCCAGTTCCACAATCTTTTCGATTAGGCATGCGTGGGATACTGTGTCGAAGGCTTTTGAAAAGTCCAGGAATATTTCGTGCACCGGTATTTTTCGGTCCAAGCAGGATTCCCAGCTCTCCCATACTATGAGAAGATTAGATGCACACGACCTGCCTTTCCGAAACCCGTGTTGAGCTTCATGGAGTATTTTATTCTTATCCATGTACTCCCTCATTTGTTCGTCCACCGGCCATTACATTACCTTTAATAGTATTGGTAGTAATGCGACTGGTCTGTAACAGGCTGGGTCCTTTCTATCTCCACCTCTGAAGATTGGAGAGAGAGTATCTTGTTTCCATTCAGCTGGGAGCTGATGTGACTCCAGCGAATGTCTGAACAGGTCACATATCCGTGAACAGAGGACTTCAGCACATTGTTGCAAGACTATGGGGCGAATTTTGTCGCAACCTGGTGACTTACCTGGACGTAAGCAGTTTAGTTTCCTTACTACTAAGTCAGGAGTGATACGGATATTCCCCAAGCCGTCAGCTGACACTGGGTTTCAGTAGTACTCGGAAAAGGTGGGTGCTTGGTTTGACTGATCAGTAAAGTTTGTGTTGAAGATCTCGGCCATCTCTAGGTTGGTGAGGTCATTTGAGAGAACGTCACCCTTGATTAGTAGGTTTTCTTTTAGACATGAGCCTAAAGAGATGCTTCCGGTTTGTCTCTATTTTGGCAGGTAGCTTAATCTGAACGCGTCTCCTGTCACTTCGAACTTTGGTATTGCATCTGTTTCTCAATGCCAAGTAAGAGCTACGATCATAATCCTTCTAGGAGACCTTCAACTTGTGCCAAGCTCTTCTCTTCGCCTGTAGCAAGCGTTCAGTGCCTCGCCTAACCCAGGTTCTTCTATTCTCGCGTTTTTGGTGTGACTGAGGTACACTGTCTACGACGGCGTTTTGGATGATATTTCTCACTGTCAGCCTCCACCACTCCCATGGCCATAGGGCATGTAGGAGGGTCTCTCTCATACGCGTATAATTTGCCCTAGTGTAGCAAATATAGGGCTTATTTTAGTCCTGAGTGTGTTTCGTTCGTGACCATGTTAGACTAGACTGTGCCATGATCACTACTTCCTATTGGTGTATGGACTTGAACACCCTCGGCTAGGAGCTGGTCATTTGTTAACAGATAATCTAGGTTTGAGGACTTTCCTTCCTTAGTTCATCCAGTGGCACTGCATACGTGCTCAGTAAGCACAGAGCTTCTAATGACTGCGCCAAGTCTTCTTCGGAAACAACCAGTGGGAATTGTACCCTGATTGTTGAGATTTAGAAATGGGGTATTGAAATCTCTACCTAAGAGTATTTGATTAAACCCCAGGAGTGTTAGTTGCAGTATTGCCTCCGTCAGTTTGTCTTTCTGAGCTTTAGTACCTGAGGGAGGGAGGTAAATCATTTCAATCAAGTATTTCGTGCCATTTATGTGGAAACAACAACATGACTCTGTCACCTCAGTTGGTTGGGTGTCGTATAGCCGATCGGCTTCCATGTGGCTGTTTATATATATTGCCAATCCGCCTCCTGTTTGGTGTACCCTACCGCTTCGGAAGAGAGTCATGCCTTACCAGCTCATTTCGTCGTCTGCAATGTAAGGTGATCGCCCTGTTTCAGTTACGATTATGATCTTCAGATCCATCTGAGAGCACATGTTCATGGTTTTTCACAGCTTTCCCCTTAGTCCTCTTACGTTGCTCTTGAGACACTTGGTAGTTTTTATCAGCACCTGGTACACTTCTGCGGCAACAGCCGCTGTTGGGTTTTTAAACAAGTTGTTCAAACCTAGTTGGCCAGTTTTATGGGAACTGGCCTCTGCAGGTTTTATGCCTGTGCGGTGAGTTCAATGGGCGGGATTTTTTTCCTCTTATTATGTGCCAGGGGATGTTGATCGTGGTCAACTGTCAATTTTTAAGCATTGATTTTGGCCTCCCTGCTGTTTTCTCGGAGATCTAGTTCGGCTTTTACAACACCTGATGTCGCTAGACAGGTCGTTCTTAGAACTGTACGAAGCCTGCAGTGCCTCACTTAGGTCTTCCCCGTTCCTGAATATCACACCCATCAGACGTGGTTACCTGATGGGCGTGAGGTGTGACGGTGGTTTGAATATCTAGGTTACGTGACAGCCATCGCCACTATTGCACATCGTGCACGTAAGCTTCGTCCAGGCTACCGCTAGCGAGTTCGGGTGCACCGTCAATTACCATGGTGGCCTGCTCTTGGATACCTGGTGATTTCGTGGTTACCGACCATACCGCTCACGTTTATCATGCCTGAAAGGGATTGGCGAGGATGATTTGACCGATAGCCTTTGGGATGAGAGGAGGATGTTTTCAGCAAGTCACGCCGAGTCTAGAGTAACCCTTATTGGAGGGATTTCCCTTTGGAGACATTCTGGCTTTTAAAAAGGCGGCATATTTTAACTGGAGTATTGCTTATTCCGAGGATTGCGCAGTATTTATTCCACTGTTCTTTGTCAAAGGTAGCCCTACCTTCTAGCAGGCTTCCTTCCGATACTGAGACATTAAATAAGATAAGTGAGTTCGCTCCATCGTCTCTATCCTTGAGCGGTAGCCGCTTGTGAGCTGTAGTGCTGCCATTCCCCTTCTTCGTAATCATCCACTGTTCTGTATTTTTAACACATACTGGGGGATTAACAACAACCGGCAGTTTTGTCGGTGTGTTAGTTAGTGTTTTGGTTGCCTTGGTCATCTGTTTTACTGGTTTCGTGCCCGGCGATTTTGGCTAGTCCATTGGGACATTTGAGCTGGTTTTGGGTGGGGCCGGTGGCTTCGCCAATGCCTCAGATACTCTAGACCGTGGGCAGATACACCAAAACCGCAGGCGAGGTGACTCAGCATGAATCCATAATACTCTTTAGGTACTGTAGTGTCGCACTGACAATGGACCCATACGCTACAGAAATTGCATTCAAATGAAGTCAATGATTTTGACTGTAAATGAAAAGGCGAAACTGTCATCCTTATGAGGTTTCCGGACGACAGACTGTGTCGATAAAGCCTTGTGACGCATTTTTCTCCTATCATTAACTAGCCTACTGGTCTTTGTATGAATTGGATTCGGAGGAGTGATGTCTGTAGAATCCGATTTGAAGGCTTTGTTTTGGAAAAATCCCACCATGTTTATATTTGTAATATGCTCTTACTGACTCTTTCTGTGCTACATTTCGGCACTCTATTTAACCCTATTTTGTGTTGTTAATATTTGTATTTTGTTATAGTTTCTATTTTTGTACCTTTTATTGGAGTTTCTGTTTTCTACTGAAATGTATTATGCTGTTTAAATTGATAATTAATTATTACGTCAGCGATATCGAATTTGACACACTGGGCGGTGAAACTTGAATGTGGATGGGAAGGGTGCAATTTTGGACCCATACGGAAGCATTCTTCCAGAATTGGAAGCACATTGTGTTAAATTTGAAACAGAACAGTGTAATACTGTTTAGGTAATTATCTGTATTTTTGATTAATAATAGGACCGTTTCTTACCCAGATAAATTGCTTTCTTTATATGCCTCAGATCATAGTCCACTCTCATAACCTAGTCCACACCAGAACGAGTAGGGCTTACAGCAGTATGCCTACCCGTCCTCCAACTTGGATATGACCTATCAAGCTCACTATGTACCCATACCTTCCCATCATGTTCGTGATTTCTCTATCTATCTTAGCATGACCTAAAGGTCGTATAAACTTCATCCAGTTGAACC